CATGTATCAGTTCTAATCACTGTCATATCGCTTCAACTTAATTACAGGCTCGTTTAATTTCCAATTTCGTGGGTTAAATGAAAATATTTGCTCCAGAATGAAACTGACAATGTCACAAATAGCGATATCATCCATTTCTGTTTTTAACACTAAAATGGCCCCAAGGCTGGAAAATTTCGAAACAGTGTGCGATCTTAACCGATCTGAAATGTACAAAATGTTGACATTTTGGGAACTGTATGGAAACAAACATTAAAGAAGAAGAATATATTTATTAAACAGTATTTTAAATCAATTATTAATAACTTAGGAACCAAACTGTCAGAAACTCGATGATAAATTAAGCACCAATTACACAGAATATTAAATAAATGTACATTAACTGACAAATTCTTCAAATGCACAATTTAAATAGGTGATTTTCCGTACAATTGCGAGATCTCACGAGATGCATGAAAGACACGCGTCGAACGTCTGCCGCAAAAATCGAACGATTTGATTTTGAACTAGAATTTCTTTATTTCGCAGCTTACATTGACCGGCTGATCTTCGACAGAGGAATATTGCTTCCGAATACCCTTACTTAATCGAAATTGCCTATCATCAAATGTGGACAGCACATTATTAAGCATGGAAATGTCCCCGAAATACTTTCGCGTTTGTCGAATCCCACGCGATGTTTGACGCGACTACGACGCTATGATCTTTGTTTGTCCTGTTTTTACGTTCGATTTCACGCATAACGCGTGATTCTCGCAGTGAACGGAAAATGGTCTATTAAGCGACACAAACATTGCTATTAAACTTACTAGTTTAATATTACTATATAAAAAATTAAAAACCACTGACCATATTAACCTTACAGATCCTAATTATTTAAACTATTAGAAAATAGCCGTTGTTTACTTGCAAATATGAGTATTCTGTTTACGTGACCTTTGCTAAACCCAAATTCAAAAATAGTTATAATTCCTAGGAATGCATTCATACTGAAATACTAAAAATGATATATTTATTTGAAAACAGACTGCGAGTGTTCTCTACACCAATGGCGGCAAACATCGTAGAAAATCTGCATATAAATTATTTTTAATTTACATGTGAATAACATTTAAATAGTTGACAGTACACTTAATTAGCAAAAGAATTCAAATGAATAATTTATGATTGCGAAACGCGGCTTTTTACAGACTTGTCATATGCATGTAGTTAATGTGGGAAAAACCAGATGACGTTTGGCACGCAAGAGATGTTTTCGAGTATGAGGTTAAGAAGTTCAATCAATGTACAGCCCCCTTTTGACGAGTTTTTATAAGATCAAAAGGTAAACAAAAAAACATGAAATAATCACTAAGCACCAACTGCAGTGTGTCACATAACATTTTTTTTTTTCACTATTCATTTTGGCTTCAGGAAGTTATTTTTTAAGATTACAATTCACTTTGGATGATACATGTATACACAACTTGCTCATAAGCAACAGACATTATTAACAAAACATGTAAATTTGTTGAGAAGATGAAACGCCATGAAATGGAAATCACATTTGGCTGATGAAATTTACACGCCCAGATTAGGAAATTAAAATGCATGACTTTTATACAAGATTAATCAATATTCCTCAGTTTTATGGCCATGCACAGTGTTGCATCTTCATAGATGTTAAACACTGTAAGAATAGTAATTTTTGTTTTAACTTTTTGATATAAACTGCTCGCATGATACATAATAGGTACTTGTAATTAAAGCAGAAGGGGGAAAAAAACATTACTACTTCCTAAAAATATTATACTGAAGTGAATATGCATTTGATGTCGCAGAGTTTGATTACAATATTTAAGTTAAAATATGATTGCTGAATTTGATTGCCAGAACACCAAGATGCTTACAGAGATATATGCAGCTGACTGGGAGGGACCATCAAAAAACATTTGCATGTAATACACAAGGTAAAATTACATGCAGACTGCAGTCTAAATATGGTCAACTACTGAAATTTGTAATCTTACCACAACACGCTCTCATAATTTTCTGGTCATTGCAATATCTTGCAGAATACGTGAAAGACATTGGTTGAATATCTGCCGCAAAAATTGGATGATTTTGAACTTTTTATAGTTCAATGTCCAAATTTCCATCTTTATAAAGAATATGGCAAGGTAATAATCTGATTTCATCAAAATTGACCATCATCAAAAAATAGTTTTCATTTAATGAATCCCACGTGATGTGTTGATGCCAATACAACGCAATGAGTTTTGTCTTGTTTTTTAATTTGATTTCATGCACAATGCTGGATCTCTGTGTGAACTGAAAATGTCTATTGCTAACCATGCATCACATAAAACGGCAAAGAAGCACTATGTGACTATACAATAGATATAGAAATTAAATTAGCATCACTATCACCAAATTAACGCTACACAAGCGACTAACGTAAAGTACATACGTCATTGGCACACTTTCACAACACCTGTGGAAATTCAGCATTTTGAACATCTCGGTAATACCCATTTGTATTTGTACCACTGTAATACAGCCAACACAGTAAGTGTAATTTACTATATAAGGAAATGCCGCAATAGCATTATGGTTACAGTAGAAAGTGATACGAAAATGTAGTCTGTGTGTCCCCTGAGCCAGTATGATGTGCCACTGATGCACATATACTGAGAAGCAACTGGTTATTCATTCCTAATGTACCAATGTTGCAACAAAAAATCAAGAAGTGATAGTTACTTTCAAAAACATCTTGCTACAAGTTATTAAATTTGTAATTTGGTAAAATGAAATTCATATTTAATATAATAAAAAAAACAAAGAAATCACTTCCTAAGTAGTCGAGCTGACTGAACTTAATTTTTGGGATCCTATTTTGCTTCAAGATCAATACAAAATCAGTCCGGTCAGAGGAATAGTAGAACCCTTATAGTTGACATACTTTAACAAAATGTTTCTTAAATTGAAAATGTAACACTTCTCTCTTGCTTCCATTGGTACTAGCTACTTGGATACGATTCCCTTATCAAATTGCAGTATTACAGAGATGAAGTTCAGGCCATTTTCATCAATTTTTCATCATATTTTGGCTACTCTGCTAATGTCAGTTTTATTAGAACATAAAACAGATGAGTTTGTAATTCATGAACTAAGACAAATAATTTAGACAGAATGGCTTCATCAAATGCCAGACAGTTGTACTCAAGGGCAGACAGAGTACAATAGATATCACTACGTGTGTGTATAATGATGTCTGTAGCGATAACACATACTTGATATTCATCAAGAGTTTAGAATTCATCTAAATCAACCGTTTTTTTTTTTTTGTCTGCTATCAACGCATCGTCCTTGGGATAATAAATATTATTCTAGTCACATCACCTGCGAGAACGCCGTCTGCAATTTTATTCGCTTTGTGCGTTTTTTAGTTCGAAGTTGATAAATTGTTACTGGCTATGAGGTACCAACTAAGGGAATTAAGGAATCCGACATCATTTTGATAACCTTGGTTTTATCAAGTTTGCCAACATACTGAAAATGTGAATTACTATTCTGCTTATTTGGCTGCGACACAATTCACAGACCACACAGAAACACAAATTAAAGGATTTCACAGCAAGATGTTGCACAACTTTTCCCATTTTCACATTGGTATTTTTTTTTTGTTAAAGACACACGACTTTTAACCAGGACTCCAGATAATCCCTGGACCATTAATCAAATTATCAATGTACAGTACAGCCTTGACTTCTACAGTAATTCTAATTAACCTTGAATGTTAGCTGGATTTGACCCAAGGATGGGTATTAATTTTAACAACTTGTAGCTTGAGATAGAATAAATGCAATAACCTAATCTGTACTAGTAACTGCAACAGTGGGATTTTCATTAGCAGCACACCTGTCATTGGGTGTCAATAATTTCATGAAATGCACTCGACTATAATTAATATATAATTATGAGTGAAAAATAAGAAAGAAAACCATAACGACAGAAGGGTCTTCAGAATACAAGACTTTCATTACTCATAACGAGATTTCGTCATGAAACTTTCCCTTCCGTTCATAAATATGCAGGTGAGGTCACCGGTTGACTACCGCGACTTCCTGTGTTTTTTTATTGCCGTCTCGATTTCATCTGCCCTGCCAATGGCAATGAAACCACCCGAAAATTACGGGTTACTGTACCCAGATTACTGCATGGAAATACGAGTTTATCTTAAGAATGTGTTTTGTGGAACGTTAAGTTCAGTATTGTAAAACAATACTGAAAGCATGCGAACGCACTCTGTTATATTTTTTTCGCAAGCCAAGCGTTTCAGGAGAGTGTCGCACACATATGTATCCCTAAACCGCCAAAAACGTTGTGTGCGACTGAGATATACTGTACAGTAAGAACGAATAAACTTGTGTTTTATTGCTGTAAAAATTACAGTTTCACATAATATTTTTTCAAATAAGTATACGGGAAAAACGACCCGCAAGTACCGAAGTGATCGCCACACTCTCAATGGACGCCATTTTGAATTGAAAATTTGACGGTCCATTGTGAGAGACACGAGTGTACGGAAATAAGGGGGACACAATCACTAAACGTCGGTCACAAACAATTAGATTAAAAACCAGTTGTCTGATAAGTCGTATAAAATCGACAAAGCGAAAATTTGGAGAGAATTTGTTGGGTTTCAATCAATGATGAGATGTGGGACAGAATAATATATGCGAACAGAGACAGAATTATAATTACTTTCAGCGCCACTCCTTCAAGAGAAAAGCCCGACAATATCTCCTACAGCTGAATATATAAATACGATTTATCTTTCAAAATCATATTTATATTTTAAATATTTCGGCACTGGTGATGTCAACAGTCGACGAGAACAGAAATTGGGCGAAATACCCGTAGACAGCCAGCGTCGCAAGCGTGGAGCGTTTTGTTGTTGTGTGTGCACCGTGACAAAAAAAATGCCAGAGAATAGTGACAGAAGTGAGAATTTTTACCTCAACGTAGGTTGCTCGACTACCCGAATACACGAGAGCTATCAGGAACAGTGGCAGGCACATCCTCTGGGCCATATTGATTGCTTAAAAAGTCAAAAATTCACACGAATATAACAGCAAGTCCGTCTAATGTCCGAGCCTTTCTGTGAAACTGCGATCACGTAGAGAGGTCTTGCATTTCATATGCAAATGACGTCACTTTCAGGGACAGTCCCATGACACAGGCAATCTGATTGGTTAAAACAAATCATCGCTTGCGTCATTATTATTTTGGAGAATCGAAATCATGAGGAATTTTTAATAATAATTCATAACGCAACATCTACATTAAAAAATCCGATTAACAAAAAACAGCCAGGTGTCTATTTTTGTATGTTTCTGTACGTTCTCAATATTTTGAGCTGTCCAATAAGCATCGCCGTCATAGAATGTTCTTTCCTTACTCGACGTTGATTAAATTTGCATATAGATGTTTGTCCTCGCTTTCCTTGTTTTTTCTTTTCTTTTCGCTGGCCATCTGCCCGCTAGGTCAAAGACGAGACAGACGGAGACCACAGTAATTAATGAACAACAGACAAATAACTCCACTACAATATTGTGAAATATCTTCTGCAGAAAAGAAACCTTTTTAATTATTGTTTTCCAGACGATTAAATTAAAACAACAATGAGCAATTAATAACCAACGCTGGCACTTTCCGAACGATTAATCTAAACGAAAATGTACAATAATTGTGAATATTTAATCAATATCTGTCAAGCACTCTGATTACAACGTCCTGAATATTTGAATAAAGGTTTGACTGAGTTATTTGTTTATTTATTTCTAATCATTAATTATGTAAATTAGATGATAAGTAAGTTATCGTCGCGTGCCACTCCCTAACACCCTAAGTTGGATATGATATGTATGGTGTATCTTTCCCACATTATTGCCTGAAATTTTCGGTAGTGTAATGCGCATAGTTATATGATCTGTAATGTATACGAAAAAGGTGCATACTCATGTTTTTAAACTATCGTGTACGTTAGTTAAAAATCGCGTGTTTGTCAGGGTTTTATGATAAATCACAACAAAAGCACAAACGTATTGAACATTCTAGAATAAAATTAGAAAAGTCGCCAGCACACATCGATTTTCAGCAAAGCAAATTGGCCAGAAACTGTTCTTGTTTTTAGCCTAAAGAGCGGCGGTCGTCACGTTGTGCGTGTTCTAATTTCATGTAAACCAACAATATATTGAACACGGCGTGGCGCGACGACAATCGCCATTTAGTTTTATTTGTTGCCGATGTTTTCTTTTTTTTTCCATTTTTGTAATACTAAACAACTTGAAAAAATAACTCAGTAATGTTAAAATATGCATTAGTAAAATGCCACCAGAATAGGCGGAAAATGAATTTGCGTTATCATGGAACAAAACAACCATTTTCCTGAGTTTTCATGCTAATACCACCCTGGTTCTTTTACTAATTTTTAAGTTTGTGTAACTGTATTAAAATCATGTTTGTGACGTGTAACAGAATATGATTATGAATTTATCACAGGGTTCTTTCGTATATTAGAGGGAAAACCAAGCCATCGTCATTGGGGAATAACCTATTTTTTTTGGGGGGGGGGTCCCGGCCACTTGCGGAGCGCGTTTAAAGGGCGGTGGTCGTCGTGCTGCGCATGTGCGACATTTGTGTTGATAAACATTGATTTTCCCACAATCCTATTCGCTCTTCTAATGGAAATCACAAGTAAATATATGAGGTTTGACCTGGGCGCGATTTGCACTAATTACTGCCGATAACTCATTCGATACCTACCAATCACCTAAACATTAAAGCTTAGTAACATCTCATTTTTTACTCGTTGATCTGCGCAACAGTCAAAGCCGCCATCTTTGTTTATATGAGACCCATATATCTCGGGCATGCATGGCGCGACGACTACCTCCTTTTAAAGGGCGGTGGTCGTCGTGCAGCGCGTCTTTGAATTTCATATACTGTAAATAAACAATTTTACACGCGTTGTATACGTCGCTATGAGTCCCATACCGAACAGGACATGGTGCGACGACTGCCACCCTTTAATTAGAAATGATCGATGTGATGCTGTGAATTATTCTACACGGCTTCTCTACAATCCCCAAGTGCTCTCTGATCAGAGTTTTTTTTTGGGGGGGTGTATAAATGTAGTAACATCCATAAATGTAATAACTACTTAAAGCGCGGTAGTTGTCGCGCTGCGCATGTGCCACATTTGTGTTGATACACATTGATTTTCCCACAATGCAATGCGCTCTTCAAATGGAAATCACAAGTATGAGGTTTGACCTGGGCGCGACTTGCACTGATTACCGCCGGCGACTCCTTCGATACCTTCCAATAACATGAAAATTACTTAATTAAAGCTTGGAAACGTCTCAGTTCGTACTCGTTGATCTGCGCAACAGTCAAAGTGGCCATCTTTGTTAGTACGAGACCCATATATCTCGCACATGCGCAGCGCGGCGACTACCGCGCTTTAACCACAATGTAATACCAACCACGAATTTAATACCATTTTAATTATTCTTCTTTAATTAATTCTTTGAATTAACTTTCACAGCCATTACATGTTATTACATTTACAGCTGCCATTACATTTGTGGGCGACGACAAGAACATTACAATATGCATATAAAGGAGGTTCATATAATTTTTTATATAATCATTCTCATGCACGTAACAGAGAAATACTGCATACAAGGAAATACTAGTACCATCATGATAAAGCGAAGACGCAATATTTGAAGTCGAGTTGTCACGTGACTGGTGGATGAAGTGGTTGACGATAGAGGGCGTTGCTACCAAGCACGGAATACCGCAAACTTGTCTGAGATATAACAGGTATTATCTTACCCAATATGCATATAAATCAGACATTTGCCTTATGTGTGTCCAGACAGTGAGGCTACTGTATGTCAGGAGGTTTCGGACGGCGTTTGGGGGTCACGCATTAGGCCAGACTTGTATTATCCCTTGCTTCGCGAACCCGCCGAATGAACAGGAGCCGAAAATGAAATAAAAATAAAATTTTATTTCAGCGTAACTTCTCGAGCCCGCCGACTTGTGAGTGCAAAAAATTGCTAAAAATAATTATTTTTATCTTCATTTTTTTTCCTCCCGCCGCCTAACAAATCCAAGTTGCATTTTCATGGGAGTATCATGACCAAACTACCGAAGTCTCGCGCAGATCTATACTTTTGCGCGTTGGTTGACAGTGAATCTCGGGTATTAACCTATCTGCGTGCTGATTGCGACTACTAGGCGAACATGGCGGCGGCGTGGTTTGTGATGACACGCCTTGAAACTCTGTCGTCAAAAACCGAGAAATCCCTCATTAATGCTGAAAATTGTGCCACCATTGGCGACATTGCCAACCAGGTTATACATGGAATAAAATTTTATTTAATTTCTTCTCTCCGATCAATGATCTCACTTACAATTCTTTGAGAATCACACAAATCTAATGGAAAAAAAGAATTAATTTTATTTTTTTCTGCCCTCCTCAAAAAATTGACTTATAAAAACTCGAGAAACAAGGAATAAAAAAGTCTGGCCTTAAAGACAGTTAACAGAGGCGGCGACACGAAATGTTGCATTGGAGGGAGGGGAGGTCTGCTCATCATCACTTGCGCCCCATACGTGCAATGGGTTGCGCATTGACGCAATGGGCGACCCCCCCCCCGTGCCGCCGCCACTGGTTGAGTCACGGTACCTTCAAATTAGATTACCAGTGCTTTAGCACATGTCATTGTTCGCAAAACCCATATAACACTTTTGATAGAGTCCCAAGAATAGACGTAAATAGTTTTACTAATGTTAATTATGTTTTTTTTTTCAGAGAGGTTTCGGTCAACAATAATTCGCACCGAGACAAAAGCAAATCTAAGAGCTGGTGTCGTGTATCCAAACCAACACACCGATCCCGTTCACAAACACGTGAATATAACTGCTTATATTTAAGATGCCATCGGTATTTTGTTTGAGGCGTCAAGTGTGAACAGATAACATGATTATCGATGTTTGAAAAATGGTACATAACATTATAGCAATATTACATTGCGCTAGTTTGATTTCGCGTAGTTACAATGCATGTTAGCACGCATCTTATACAGTACAACCATCTAGATACCACATGCAAAGAAAGTTGTTGTTCTGACGATAATGTAGAATTTCGCCCGGGCAGAAAAGAACATCTCTTTGAAAAGCGTTTTTATCAGCAGAGCGCTGATTTGGCCATATGATAGATTTCCCACTTGTTAGGAGAAAAATACATATTGGGGGGATCATTTATTTTTTGCCGGAACTAAAATGTATTTCACTGAAAAACATAACGACCAGGATCCAATGAAATACGTAACTAATACTTATTAATATTTTTTACGCCACGCTATCAACGTACACCCCAAATAGAAATAGAATTTACTCGGGCACAGGCTTGACAATGACAACAATGACCTCTAGTATACACGTTTACTTCGAGCCAAGTACGGCTCCAATAAACCTTCTGGATTGAACTCCGATAGGGCTGAGTCACAACATGGCAGAGAAAAGACATACTGCGATATGTTGATAGATCAACTGGAAACAGAAAAATAGCGCACGAAATTGTGCGACAAAAACTTGAAAGGACGGCTAAACAAATTTTGGCAATTTAAGAAACAGTTCAAAAACACCGAAAATAAAAATCGTAGAAGCAGTCACGGTACGGCGACGTATTCCTACTAGTACAATATTTGGCTCAGACAACTAACCCATAGTTGTCTGAATGAATCTTTTGGGTGCGATTCGTCAGTAAGTTTAATAAAATTGTGGTACTACAAAATCAGCCTTTTATTCAAAGTGAAATTTGGTTTTACTCACCAAATACATTGCAGTATGAATGAGAAGTTTCTATTGACAATAATGGTACAGCATTATACTTAATACAACAACAAATTTCAGGACAAATTTGCAAAAACAGTAACAATACTGGTAACACTAGGTATCCTTTACCCACCCCCTCAAAACCAGTAAACAACGCTTTCATATTGTTTTGCCGTGAATAAAGAATACGTTAAAGGGCCTAGATTCTATGCAAATTGCTTTGACGTCTATTTCACTTGTTAATTAATATTAATAGATATGCCGTATTTGAGTA